TGCAAGATTCCTCGTATACGAGGTCCCTAGAGGCGTCAAATCCATAGACGGGAAGCAGGACGATGGGTGCCAGGGGCTGGGGGAGGGGAATGCGGAGTTAGGGTTTCATAGGGACAGAGTTTCTGTTTTGCAGAGTGAAAAAGTTCTGGAGATTGGTTGCACAACAAGGTGAATGTACTTAATGCCGCTGAACCGCTCACTTAAAAAGGGCCAAGACAGTAAATATTATGTTATGTGTATTTTACCACAACTAAAAATAGTATTTCTCCAGTTAAAAGAAAACTCCATCGTAACCAACACATCAGCTGACACTCACTGGCTGACAGCACTGAACGCTGTGTTCTCTTTGCCAGCTTTGCTCACACATGAATATCTTCAGGGGGAAACAGCAATAATTAGCCCCAGGATCAAAAGAGTAAATACGAGACCCAGTTCTGGTATTTCCAGTTTAGCCGTCAGCTCTCGGGTTTTCCAAGAGCCGGCAATGAAGAATGCAGCCACAGATAAATAGATGAACCGTGAAGCAGAAATCCTAAGTATCAACCCAACACAGAAGCATGATTCACAATAGCCCCACAGTGGAAACAACCCAAGTGTCAACCGGTGACAAAATGCGGTCTATCCACGCCACAGAATACATTCACCAATAACAAGCAATGAGGTACTGCCACAGGGTGCAGCGTGGACGAGCCGTGAAAAACTGTGCTAAGCGAAAGAATACACACACAAAAGGCCAGATAAGGTATGATTCCAGTTACAGGAAATAACCAGAAATGGCAAATCCTTAGAGACAGAAAGTAGATCAGCGGTTGCCTAGGGCTGGGGAAGGGAGAGCAGAAAGTGCCTGTGAAAGGAGATGAGAGACATGCCCTAGGGGGACAGAAATGCTCCCAAACCAGATTGTGGTGATGCTGGTACAACTTGGTAAATTTACTGAAAATCGTCGAATTGCACACCTAAAATGGGTGAACTTTATGGCATGTAAATATATCTCAAGAAAGCTATTTTTAAAAATTTTAAGTTAAAGGGGCTGGCCCCGTGGCCGAGTGGTTAAGTTCGCGCGCTCCGCTGCAGGCGGCCCAGTGTTTCGTTGGTTCGAATCCTGGGCGCGGACATGGCACTGCTCATCAAACCACACTGAGGCAGCGTCCCACATACCACAACTAGAAGAATCCACAACGAAGAATATACAACTATGTACCGGGGGGCGTTGGGGAGAAAAAGGAAATAATAAAATCTTTAAAAAAAAAAAAATTTTAAGTTAAAAAAATATATGTCTACAGACGCACTGTTAATGAATACATTGTCTCTGTGAGTGAGAAGTCAAGCCAGACTCTTAAATTGGACCCAAAATGGTGGACCCACTCTTCTGCCTGCCTGTTTGCTGTCCAACGGCTTCTAATCACCCCATCCTCCTGAATACCAGCACTTCGGGCTCTCCTTTGAGAGCTCAACCAGGAGTGCTGTGAACTCGGGCTGGTGAAAGAGAGCTCAGACATCAGACATCCGAGAAGGCAGTCTGCAGGACAGGCTAACTGTCCTTGGATTAGAGTCTATTTTCGAAGAGCAACACACCCGGGCCACGTTGCCATATTACCTTGGCACCCCAAGAAGTGGATTCATCCAATTAATATTTAATATTATTTCCTTGGCTTTTATGGAATGACTACATAAGGATCATTCATCTTTAAGATTCATTCGGTTTTTTTTAAAGATTGGCACCTGAGCTAACAACTGTTGCCAATCTTCTTTTTTTTTAAAGATTGGCACCCGAGCTAACAAATGTTGCCAATCTTCTTTTTTTTCTTTCTGCTTTTTCTCCCCAAATCCCCCCAGTATATAGTTGTATATTTTACTTGTGTGTCCTTCTAGTTGTGGCATGTGGGACACCGCCTCAATGTGGCCTGATGAGTGGTGCCATGCCCACGCCCAGGATCCAAACCAGAGAAACCCTGGGCCGCCACAGCGGAGCATGCGAACTTAACCACTCAGCCACGGGGCCGACCCCCTCATTCATTTTTTAAGATTAAGTATTTCTACGTCTTTTGCAAAATCACTGTTGAAGACATTATGTCACCCAAGTTGGCTTAAGCAAATTCTGCCTAGAATTAACATTTTCCTCTACACACGAAGTTCTAGTCTTCGTTCATTAGATAGGAGGAATGAAATGACAGATTCATTCATTAGATAAAAGTCAAAGAATTTCTCTTCTTGCCAGGACGTTTACAGCTGGTTCCAAAGGGGCCACTGAAGGAAGCCCAAAGAAATAAAAACTAATTTCTCTCTTCTTCCTTTAATAAGATTGATTCTGTTTTTACTGTTCAAGTTTCTATGAACTTTTCACTTTGCACGACATCCAATTCTTTTTGGGTGTTGGAAGCATACATCTTTGCCCCAGTTACTGACGGACATTAACCATCACCAGGCGTTTACAATGTAAATACTGGGCATAACAGTGTCGGCTTCGGAGACGTGGAGTGAAGCAGGTGCAAGCCAGCCTGCCCAACCTCATCTTGCATGGCTGACACCTTTGCTCGTGTCCTTCCCTCCATCCCGTGTTTCCTTCTTTCTGGAACTCCCTCCAACCTCTCCTCATATGGCTTTCCATCTCTCTTTCAATGTCCCCCTCACACAGGCCTTCCCTTATCTGTGAAGCGATAGCAATGTCCCCACTCCTCACGTCCCTGCCCTGATTTTCTCAGCCCTTGGATCAGTTCCTTCTTCATACTTGTTAAGTTCTAGTATTTGTCGTTGGTGCTATTCTTCCTTCTAACGCGTCCTCTCCACAGAATCTGCAGTCCAGCAGGGACGGCACCGATATGTCTCTGTGGGTGACACTGCTGCCTCGGGGTTTGCCTGGTTCCCCGCATTCAGTGGGCACTCAGCATTTGTTGGATGAACGCAGGAGCCTGAGACCTTCCGGTGCCTGTTGAGAGTGGATAAGAACAGAGAAACACGGGCTCCCTGGTCAGACACCAGGTAAGGATTTCGGCATCGATCCAGTCATACTGGGAACGCATCACAGACTTTAAGAAACAGAGGATGGTCACATAAGCTTCCAGGAGCAGCGAGGAGAAGACGCACAGCCTCCCATGCAGACATTTCAGCAGCCTTATTCCTACACCTGAATTCAAGGTCAGAGACAGAGAAAAGGTCAGGAAACCCAGCTGCTTCCTGCCATTTGCAAAAATTACAAATTTAACACCTCTAAGAGGCACCAGGAGACTCTTCACAAATACAAACGTGTGCTGCGGACCAAGTGTTGACAAGTTGCTCAAACACAGAAGGCTCAGCCCCTCATCTCCATAGGACAATGACAAAGTGCAAAGGAAGACAGGGACAAAAATGCATCCGTGAAGTTATCACAGAGTTATTGTGCCAAGGAGATGAGATGGCTGCGAGAAGTCCTCTTTAGGAAGAGTTACAGCCACAGAATGATGTTTCGTTTCAGTCAACGATGGACCGTACATTCAACGGTGGTCCCACAAGATCAGCACCACACAGCCTACGTGTGTAGCAGGCTGTGCCATCTGGGTTTGTGTAAGTCTGCTCTGCGACGTTCGCACAACGATAAAATCGCCTAACGACGCATTTCTCAGAATGCGTCCCTATCGTTAAATGACATATGACCGTATTTGAAACAGATTCTCGGCTGAGACCAAACTGGGACTTGGCCCCTGATGGATGGAGGGGACGGAGGACGGGCTCAAGGCGCACAGTGGTGGCTGTCGCCCCGTGGGGAGGAGAAGCGATTTTGTGACAAGTACCTGCGGGAGAGAGAGACCTGGAGGAGGGGGAGAGCCCCGCGGCTCCACATAGAGGACGAACTGGGGCCCAGAGCTACAGGGGCCCCTCGATGAGACTTTCTATGAAAAAAAGAATTTCTTTTTTTTTAGAGATGAAAACTGTTGAGAGTGGAAAACAGTCATTTATTTTGATTGAATTCTAGATGACATTAAAACAAAAATAAAATAGAAACGTTTATTTAATTGCCTTTAACTCTAAAAAACAAATAAACACATACACATTTCAAATATTTCCTCTGTCTTAGCAAACCCCCTTATTGTCATTGTCGTCATTTCAGTCTCCTGCAGTACGAGCCGTGGCTATTGGACAATGTACTGATTCACTGGACAAAACATGAACCGTGTAGTTTCTAAACACCAAGACCCACAGCTCCTGTGCTCAGTGTATTTTGGTAGTTTGCTGTGTGGTGCTTTTTAATGCTTCATTCTATAAATCACCTGTTTCTCTCTGTTGAAGAGTCCAAACGCCAAACGCCTGTTCTGTGAGGATGTGTATACATACCTAGGGGGCCCACGTGACAAGGGGACAGTGTGGTGAGAAGACGCACCCCCACTCCACATCATCCAGAATTGCCCCACAGGGCCATGTTATGCAGGGCAGCCTGGACCTAAAAGGTTTGGTGCTTAGGGACCCGGGGGCAGCAGCTGGGGTGGAAGCAGCAGCCGGGCCTGGAAACCCGGGAATGAGGAAGCGACGGATGGCAGAAGCTGGTGGACTCACCCCTGAGCACAGGGACCTGAAACAATGGTGAGGGGACACTTCACAGCAGATCAGAGGTCTTAATTCGACAGAGAACTACATAGAGCAGGGCAGGGCAAGGGGCCCTGGGAGAACAATGGAATTCCAGAATTAATGTCATGGTGACCTCTTCTGAGCCAACAGATACAGGAGTTGTGAGTTATGTTCATTGCGTAAGAATAAAGAAAGCTGCTTTGGGAAAGACAGACAACACTCATTACCCTGGATCTCGCCTGATCCAAAATCAATACATGCTACGATATTACCCACCTCCAGATGGCCCATCAGCCTCGCAGGCTTGCTGTCATTGCCTCAATGATAAGATGAAGAGTAAAGAGAGGCCACCATTGGCCAATCAATAACACTACTGCTCACTTCTGCGGCCTGGTGGAGCCCCCAGCACCCGCCCCCTCTCCCCGCCCCGGACCCCAGCACAGACCCCGTGCTCAACTCACTCCCCCTCAGATGCCACTGCTCTCCCAGACTTGCCCAATCTTTTCCAGTCTGGAACCCGTGTCTCCAGAAATAGTTGGTCTCTTTAGATTCTCAATGCTTGTTGACAATATGAAACTATTGTATGTCCAGAAAACTGAGCGTGTTTAGGTCCAAACAAGACCTCGTCTCCTGAGGGACTCCATGGCAATAGACATGTTTACGGTCCTGTGTCGATTGTGGCCACGGCTGCTTTGCTGCGGCTTCAGTCCTATCTGTTAGTCCAAGGATCAGCTCACGCAGAAAGAGTCACAGGAGACACGGCTTCCAGTCTTCGGAAACGTCACCTCAGCATTTGCCCACAGGCGGAAGGAAGAACCGTGACAGGGCCACTAGGGCGACGTGGTGGAGTCCGTCCTGCTTGGCCCGGAGTTTGGCCCTTTGGTTCCTGATCCATCTTTGGTGACGTGGGCACACAGAGGTGAAGGAAGTGATTGACAGGAAAACAGCAGCAACTGTCGCTCAAGCCCACCCCCTATGCTGGGGGCTCTACAAGCTGGAAACCCAGGTGATAGCAAATCAAGAATCTGAGTTTAGACTAAGCACAGGCGTTGGCCCCAAATGGAAGCTGACCGGGATCTGCAAACATCGTGCATGATCTTAGGCCAGATTTCAAGGCAAAGTGAGTTCCAGAAGGATCTTGAGGCCAGAAAGCGTGCCGGGGGTCCTCTGCTCTTCCAGGTAGAGGCTACAAGTGTCCTTCAGATGAAAGCAATCCTTTAAGAGATTCGTCTAGAGTAGGGCTGCTTGCAAACGAATCTTTCTAGGATTCCCCTGTAATTCCTTTCCTTATGAAAGAAAGTCGCTCCGCCTGAAATTGTTGGCATCACAAAACGCTTCAGGGCCCCTGGGCCCCACCTTCTGCTCACTTCTTCATTATTTGCCGTGTTGGATAAATCACCAATTTTCAGCCAGTAAAACCTCCCCCAGAGCTTCGATAAAGCATCGAGGAATCTTAGGATAGTAAACGCTTCAGGGAGAAAAGAGGCCGAAGTTTCCCGCACGAAGGAGAGGCGTGGTGAAGACAGAGGAGGTCCCGGTCTCTGCTTGACCCCAGGATTTGACCAGAGCTCACTCTGGTCCTCAGCAGCCCTGTGACATGCTGCCCTTGGCCGCCAGCCCTCTGGGCACCTCCTCCCCTCCCCAGCCCAGAGGCCCCTCTCTGGTGAAGTGACCCACATCTGCTTCCCTACGCCCCTCCTCTGCCCACCTACTCTGGGGGCAGAAACCTCAAGTCTCAGCTTTCCAATGATGGGCGTAACTTGATGCAACTTTCTTTTTTCATTAAAGATGAATTTTTTTTCTTTTTGAGGAAGATTAGCCCTGACCTAACTGCTGCCAATCCTCCTCTTTTTCCTGAGGAAGACTGGCCCTGAGCTAATATCCGTGCCCATCTTCCTCTACTTTATACGTGGGACGCCTACCACAGGATGGCTTGCCAAGCAGTGCCATGTCTGCACCCAGGATTCCAACCGGCTAACACCGGGCCACTGAGAAGCGGAATGGGTGAACTTAACCACTGTGCCACCGGGCCAGCCCCAATTTTTTCATTAAAGATGAATTTTAAGCATATTTTTTGGAAGATGCCGTGGAGGACATTGCACGTAAGAACTCCGTTATTCAAACATCCCGTTGTTCCCTAAACCGGGAACAGGGCTCCTTACAGCCCTTCCTCAGACTCTCACGGAACACGGCGCAGAGCCCTGGCTAGCTGGGCAACTCTGAGCGTCCCAAGCTGCTTGACCACACAGCAGCTCTGCAGCGACTTCCCTGGTGAGCTCCCCGGGTGCAGCTGTGGGCTGCGGGATGTCACTCGGGAGGAAATATTGCACCTATAATACCAAGTATAGCTTAATTTTAGAAATTCATGAGAATTTTCACGTTGAAAAAATATTGGACCAGCTACATGTCCCAACTTAGGAATCAGAAAATGAGGCATCATGCTGAGAGCACATAGCACTTCACAGGGGGTGTTATCATTGCAGGAGGGGTAGATCTTACTACCTCAAGAGCCGCCTGTGGCTCTCACACTTACCTGAGCGCTCTCTCTTCCCGAGTGGGGCCAAGCTAATGCCGCGTGTCCACTGAGACTATGTTCCTCCGCACACTGCTGGACCCTAACTCCCAGCCCCCTTAGCAGTCAGATGGGCCGACTAATAGTTCTGGCAAGCGGAGTGTGGGCAGAAGCGATGTGCATCATATTCCAGCCAGAAGCCTCCCACCGGGTCCTCCACGCTCCTTCACTCTCCTCCTCTGCCTCCCGGATCCTGAGCTCCTGCCGACAGCTCCAGGGCCCTCGCCGTGGAAGGAGCATGGGTCTCTGAATGGCTGTGTGGGCACCGCACCCCTGCCCCAGCCCTCAGCCAAGCCTCCGTGGACGGGGATGTGCGTGAGAAATCCCCCTTTACTGCGGTACGCCACCGAGCTTTGGGGCTGCTGGTGAGAGCCAACCACGCGGACTGACCCATCACGGCATCTACAGCACCTGAGAGAGATTCAGAAGGCCGGTGTCGAGTGAGTGAAGTCACTGAGAGAGCTGAGAATTGATGGCTCTGTGCCACATAGGTGGGTCCATACACCATCAAGTAAGAGTTTCAAACATCAGGCCCAGTTCCTGGAGCTAATCTGGTCATCAAGGGACCCAGTGGTGGTGCCAGTAGGACCCACTCCCGCTGACCCCCGTAACAGAGATCTGGAGGGGACTCAGCCTCAAGCAAACAGCACTTCTTGGATCTGGACGGGTGTGCCCAGTTCTGTGCTCACCCCCAGACAGTCGAGGGGAGAGGCACTCCCGAGGGCACAGACGCACCTGTCCCCTGGCAGGGCCAGCCTCTGAGGCTCTCCACGGCAGCTCTGCATCTAGGCAGGGCCTCTTCACGGAGGCTGGCTCGGCCAAGGTGTGGACCTCAGCTTGTTCTAGTTGGCAGAACTCCACCAACCGTCAACACACGCTGTCCTCACCTCACCTCCAGCCCAGCCAGCCTAAACTTTAGCCAGAACCTCAGGGAGAGGCTGCACACGGGCAGGCCGGCTGGGCGGGGAGGAGGGGCAGAAAGCCAGGGCCGGGTGCCAGCAACCCCTGCCAATTCCTTGTGGCCCAGCGTTGTAGGAAGCGATTCATGAGGGGGAGGATCTGTCACAAGGTGAGGCTGCACTGAGTCACTGGAGGCGGATTGTTGAGTGTCCACGCGTGCAGGCTGCTCCGGGGCTGGGGTCCCCTCACAGCAGAGAGAGGAAGCTCACAAACAGACCGGTACAACACGATGTGATCAAGTGTTGTTAGGCTGTGCACCTGTGCAAGTGGAGCAGCGAGGAAAGAGCACACCTGCCTCGGCCTGCAGGTGGGCAGGGAGGCTGCCGGAGAAGGTGTGGCACGTGCCCTTGAGTCCTGCCGGCTTCGCCGTGGAGCTCCATGTCCCCGTACCCACTGCGGGCTCTGCTGCAGGCCCTGCTCTCTGCTTGAGGCTACCCAGGGCCCGCTCAGCCTGTCCTTGGGGGCCCGAGAGCTCAGAGTTGACTGCCTGCCTGGGGAGCAGAGCTCAGCAGAGATGGGGGCAATGGGGAGGTCAAAGTGTAAAACACCCACTTCCCAGGCCCCTTTCCTCCCAGAGGGGACATTGGCCCCCAAAATCCCCAGAGGCTGTGCTCCAGGCATCCACAGTGCTGACAACTCCCTCCCTCCCCTGCCAGGAACAACCTCCCAAAGGAAACCCTGCCCTCAAGTCCTGGCCTCAGGAACCCAAATTGCCTAGCAGGTAACACCCAACAAAGAGCAAGAGAGTGTCAGATGGGATGTGGGCCCGCCTCACACAATCCTGAGGCTGGAACAGCATCCAGACTGGAGAGCCGCTCGGCCCTTCCCCACGGCCAGGCTGAGAGGCGGGAGAGGTCTCCAGGGGCAGGTCATGGAGACCAGCGTGCACCCTGCAGCTCTGCCCGCCACGTTACAAAAGTGCGTGTCTATGCAGAGGCAGTACAAGAGGTCCATGACAGCCTTGTTGTGGTTACTCACCGTTGCCCGGCTGGACAGAGTCCTGGTGTCCGCCCCCAGGAGAACTGCGGTGTGTCCGTGCAGTGTCGTCTACTCAGCAAGAGTAAGGAGCCAGATACTAGTAATGCCACAGCCACACGAGGAAATCTCAAAAACATTCTGCTGCAGGAAATGAGCCCAGCACAGGAGAGTGTCTACTCCACGATTCCATTCTATGAAGTTCTGGAAGGGGCAACGGTGAACTACAATGATAAAACCAGACAGTGGTCACCTTTGGCATTGGGGGTGGGGATTGAGTGGCAAGGGGTGGGAGGAAACGCTCTAGGGTGATGGGATGTTCCATGTCTTGCACAGGGAGATCATCAAATTGTCCTGTTAAGATCCATGCTCTTCACTGAATGTACCTTACTCCAAAAAGAGAACTGAAAGCAAACATTGACCTCCAGCTGATGATGTGCACGCCGAAGCGTTCCCTGATATCAGCAACTTCCAGTGCAACGCGTGGAGCAGTAAGATGGAGGGGTGGGTGAGAGAGGGACAGAGAGGAGAGACGTGAGGAAGCAAATGCAGCAGCAGGTGGATGCTGGAGTCGGGGTGTAGGGAGGTGGGCGTTCGCTGAACAACTGTATCAGCTTCTCTGTGTTGGGAAGTTTTCACAGTAAAATGCTGGGGAGGAAAGGGGTGGATCACGGTGCCATGTCAGGATCGGGACACAGCAGGCTGCAACAGGGGCTCAGAAGGGTCTAAGGGTGGAGGGCCTTGGTCATGCTGATGTTGAGGAAGGCTAACGAAGAACCAGATTGGCATGGTGCAAAGTGGTTGAGAGCACACCATAAGCAAGTTGAGCCGTTGTCATAGTCTAAGCCTGCTCTGAACCGAGGAGGAGGGTCGGTAAGATGGATGTGGCTTCAAGAGAAACATGGAATCCAAGGGGTGCCGGGTAAGTGGGGCGGGGAGGGGTGGGCAAGTGCTGGGGAGACGGAGGCAGGGAGTCAGGTGAGGCCTGGGTTCTGGTTATTGGCTGAAATGGACCAGGCTTCTGAGCTGTAGCTTCTATCAGCTGTAGCAGACAGCTCTGAGTGTCCACAGGACAGGTGGCCTGCTCCCGAGCCCATCCCCTTTTGTTAGTGGCCATCCACTGGGAGACCAGAGGGAGGCACACTCCAGAGCTTAGATAACTGACACTGAGAGCCAAGCAGACATCTTTTCCATCTGAGACCCAGGAGCGGCCCAGGGAGACAGAGCAGGGAAGAGGGAGCGCCCTCTGGCCGCCTGCTGCACTGAGGCCTCCACGGGGAGCCCCCTGCAGAGCTCCTGTCTCTGCAACCAGCACCTACTTCCCCTGAGACCAGCCTCAGCTGAGGACCCCGAGGGCTCTCTCCTCTCTGCACTGCCTCTCCTGTTGGCGGGGAGCCCATGTGGGTGGAACTCTGTCTGTCCGCAGCTGGGATAAGGTTATTTCAGGGGAGTCATGACTCTCTGCCAGGCATTGTTCACGCTGACGGGAGAACCTGGCCACCTGGCTCAGGACGCACACGCCAGCGGGTGGACAGACTGGAATCCACGTCCAGTTCAGGGAGAGGAAGAGGAAAGGGAACCTTCACGCATCATTTGCATTAAAATGTCCCCAGCACACCTGGTGTGGTTTCAGATGTGCTGGGCTCCTGGAGAGAGTTCTGTCACTCACTGGCAAAGGTAAGAATGTGTGAGCCAATTCTAAAACGTAAAAAGGAATCCCCAGTAAGTACCCATGGGTGGAACAAGACCCTCTTTGCAGACAACTGGTGTGTAAAAGTCTGCGTGCTGGTTTGCTTTTCCAAAGTGGTGTTTTCCCTTCTTTAAAGAGAAGAGCTTTTCTGGATCTCCATGGGGAGGGCCCCTGCTCGCACGACCATAGCAACGTCCCGAGTGTATGCTGGCAAAATGCCAACTCGACATGGGCGGTCCCAGCTGACCCACTCTGAGACCAGTCCTGGATAACCGAGAATGGGCTGGAGGGAGCCCACGGAACAACTTGAACCTGGACACTGAGGATAGAAGGGGTTTAGGAAATTCTCACCTTCAACAGAGAGACCAAGCACAAGGATTGACCCCTAGAGCTTGGACGCCTGGCCTCTGACTGGGACACTTGGGTCCAGATTCCCAGCACCCCATTCCTGGCTGTGTGTGTCCCTCGGTTAACTCCTGTGCAGAGTGATGATGACTTCGCCTTCCCGGACCCTGCACTTACAGCGTGCGGCACAGCCTGCTCCTGGGCGCCCTCCGCAAATGCTGTTTCTCCTGTTGAAGTCCTTGCTGGATGAGGAAAAGCCAGAGGATGAGCAGCCGAGGGACCTGACCCGGACCGAGGGACCTGACCCGGACCTGCGGATGCCCCAGCCCAGAGCGTTCAGGCTCCATGACTACCCCGCTGTGTCCACCCACACCCTGAGCTGCTGCCCCCAAGGGAGTCCAGAGCCGCTGCGTGCCCCATGGCAGAAAAAATGAATAAATAAGCTAATCACAACATTAAAGGTTTCTTTAAACGGGTGAGTGGCTAAGCAATCGGAGGGCTGCCGTGCAGTGCGGGGAAGAACGCAGTGTTGGCATTTCACAAATTTCACAAACACGATATGGAGCCGAAGAAGCCAGGCTCCATCATAGACTCTAGGACAGACGAAAGTGAATGGTGGTTCAGAGGTCAGGGTGGTGTCTGTCCGTGGGGGGACAGACTGGAGGGGCAGGAGGTGACGCGCGTGTGTCATCAGCTCGAGAAACAACTTCCCATCCCACGTGTGTCTCCTCGTGAAAGTTGGCTGCACAGTGCAATCGTGATTTGTGTCCTTTCCTGTGCGGATGCTATATTTCAGTAAAGAGTTTCCCCAATGCAGTGATCCACATGTTGTAACCTGGGAAAATACCCCGGAAAGATCAGAGGGTGAAAGCAAAGTGCTGCAAACAGTAAGAATAGTACCATCAGCGTGAAGAGTTCCAGGCTGGTGCTGGAACTGCCATGTGAGGTCTTCAACACTACGCTTCTGCCCTGGCCCCAGAACCCCCTCCTCTGGACACTCTGCTTTGCCCCCTCCCACCACCAGACCCAGGGGAGCACCAGGCACAGCCCCTTAGCTCTGGCCATAGTCCAGTCCCACCCGGCTGCTGCGCCCACCTCCTGGAGCAAGGTTTGTAAAGTAGATAAAAATCCAAGTTTTTTAAAAGACAAACATACCAACAACACACACCAGCTATTAACCATGGGTGGGAGTAAGGGAGGAATGCTGACTTCTTCAATTTAAAAGAAAAGGAAAGGAAAGAAAGACTATTTTCTACTTTTTTTGTTCGAGTTTTTATTTTTCAAGTTAAATAAGAAATCAATCATTAATTTAAGTTCTACACAGACAGTGGATAGTTTTTTAAACTCTATGGTAGCAAATCTATCTAATGACTCCTAAGAAATAGACCGAGTGGCCCTCACTTTTCAGGCAACAGGCCAGGAACCTCCCCCTTGGGCCTCGGAGAGCCGCGGGGGTCTGGGCGGGCACAGCTCCTCGATCAAGAGCATCTCCCATGAGCACGGCTCCCTCTTGTCTCCGAGTGTGACGTCAGGGTATCCTCCTGTCTGCGCAGGCTGATATGTCTCCCCTGACTTGTCTCTAAGACCCTGAGGCCAGACTGGGGGAGACTGTCTTCCCAGCTCTCATATCCTCGTGGCCCACAAAACCAGTGCAGAAGCACCTTTAGCAAAAGCACCGAGGATGGAGAGTCTGGACAGAGAATCTGGACCGAGCTCTGGTCTCTTCATGAAAAACGTCACAAGAACACTGCGACAGATGGATGTTGTGCAGAGATGGCCTTCCTGCATGTGTGTAAGTGTGTGATGTGTGCAAATCTCCTCCCACAGGCTGCCCTCCACCTGAGAGGGATGTTTGTTCCTACCCTTGAAGGTGGGCAGTGTATGTGGAGAGTGTGGCTGGAAGGATGCTGCCTGATGGCCAAGGGGAGGCCACAAACGGCACACGGCTGCCCCGGGCTCTCTGAGGACTCTGGGCCGCCATGCTGGGAGGAAGCTCCACTCACCCCCGTGGAGAGAACTGAGGTCCAGCCTGCAGCCGCATGGATTGTCAGACTTGTGAGAGAGTGACCACTCAGATGCTCCAGCCCCCAGCCGTCAGGTCTCCCAGCTGAGGCCCAGCATCCTGGACCAGAGACCAGCCGTCTCTGAAGAATCCATGGCTGTAACCAATGGTTATTTTCACCACTAGGTTTCCGGTGGTCCCCCGCCACCCCAGTTACCAACAGCTCCAGCCCACACTGGGGAGTGGCAGAGAGGCGGCACCCTCAAGCCTGCAAAGACGCCTTTTCAACGCCGGCCCGCCTGGCACTGGCACCATCACCACCTCCTCCCCCACCCCAAGTGGCCCTGTGATCACCACGTGGAAGTTCAGGCCCATCCCAGGCCGTTCTGAAAATGGCCAGCTCTCTCTGGCAGCTCCGAGAGCTAAAAGGTGAGGGAACCACTCTGCCCCCTCCGTCCTCACACCCACCCTAAGAGCTAAGTACAGCTCTCCACATAGAGGGGATGGAGACCAAGGGAAGCCAGGCGGCCAGCCTGCAGGCACCGCCCCCAGGTGGAGGCTGGCCTCTGGGCCCCCGACGTTCCCAGCATCAGCGTGGCCCTCCTGCCCAGAGCAGGGCTAGTTCCTTTAATGACCCTCTGTTGCCAGCCCTCCCCTCCCTGTGGCCCGCAGGGCTGCCCGGCCAGGTGCAGCAGCTGTTTCTTGGCCATCAGCCATAATAGAGTGACTTCCAGAGCACCTCTGCTGCTGGTCCGGTTTCCAGGGACCTCCCTTGACACAGCTGCCTGCACACAGGGCCGGCCACCTTCAGTGAGCAGACAGCCGGAGGACGGGGTCCTTCCCCAGAGCCGGTCCAGGGCGGCCCTGGTCCTGCGACACAGCATCATGGGCTCCGAGTCCACAGCAAAGCCACGGGACCTCCCACAGCCATGAGCTCCCTGGTCGCTCTGCAGCCCTCAGCTTTGTCCAGTCGGCAAGCGTGGGCCTCAGGACTTGGGGTTGGGTGGTCATCAGGGTGCATCACCGGGAACTGGGCCAGGAGATGGTTGTGCAGGCCTTGGAAACGGACCTGGCCCCAGAACCTTCTGGAAGCCTTTATGTCCCAGCTCAGCCATTCTGTAACTGTAAATAGCCAGCCTGGACTGGCTGATGCCTAAGAAGCTTCGGGCACCTTTGACACACGTGGCGGCATCCTCAGACTCTTGGGGGCTCATCTCTGAAGAGTCTGATGGAGCGACAAACTTAGCCTTGCTCCCTCCAGGCATGGTCAGCCCCAGCCTCCAGTGACCAGGCAGGATCCCGTCTCTCTGGGGACCTCTCTATGGGGAGGAGAGCGGAGCCCCGTTATCCTGGAGTTTGGGCACTGCACCCTCTGGGTTCTGTGTGCACGTTCCCAGCAGCTCTCTTCTCCAGCCGACAGCGGGTGTGGGGAGAGCTCCTTCCAGGCTGCCTGCTCCCTTCCTGGAGGAGCGTGCCTCTCACCAGCAATCAAGTTTGCAAACTGGGCATGTGGGTGGACTTCCCGTTATTTTAATTAAACAGGGTCTTTCCGGTGTGTTTTATTTCCTTCCTGTGGTCTCCTTTCTCTTTTCGCAGCTTTTCTTTGTCCTCTTTCCTTTTAAAACAGGACCCCTTAACCATGTAGACCATGGAAATGCTTCTAGGGGTCGACATCCTTTGGAAATTGCACACGTGTGTGGGGGGTTGAGGGACCATGTGTGTGCATACAAATGTGCGCAAGCACACGTATGTGCATGTGTGTGAGTGTGCGGGTGTGTGCATCTCCCAGGGACAGAGGATGCAGCTTCCGTCAGGTTCTCAAAGGGCCCGTGGCCTTCAAGGAGGCTGGCCTCCCTGCAGATGAGCGCTCTTGCCTTGCTGCTTCCCTCCCGTCTCTGGTGGCCGTCCCTCCACCATTAGGGAAAGGGCAGACCGTTCCCTAAACAAGGATGACCATGTCCACCATGCGGGCAGGCGGATTTGGCATTCCTCACTTCTCGCTGGTCTTCCAGGACGGGCCCGCAGCTCTCGGCGCCGGTTCCACCACGACTGCTCCTCGACCACGTCCCCCTCCTTCCCCTCCCAGTCAGCCTCCCCATCCCTTCTGGACCCCGTGGGGCCTTCTGTCCTGGTTCAGCAAAGCCCCTGATGCTGAGGGGACAACAGGAACAGGTGGGCTGTTCAGGCCCCAACGCACATCCCAGAAAGCGGCTGGGCGCCAACCCGTCCGTGGTATTTTCAGGACCCTTCAGTGAGACGTGAAGGAGCAGCCATCTTTCCATCATGTGCCACCACAGGGTGTGACGAGGCCGGGTGCCGGCGAGGCAGAAGCTCCGGCCCCAGGGGGCCCCACGCTGTCCAGAGTGCCCTCCAGACCTGGGGGAGGGGGCATAGCGAGCTGCCAGTGAATGCACGGGGGCCCAAGGACAGCCAATGTGCTGGCGCTGCCTCCTGCAGTGGACTTCTGGACACGGTGGAAAAAACAAGTTCTCAAACTACGCATCATGGTGAGGAACCAGTGTTTTCTGTTCTTTTAATTCCAATTCATTGCAGGCTGGCACTTTTGTGAAATGAACCACTAGAACAACGATCATGAGCTCGAATGTGGCCCCACATCACGTTGCTCTGAAAGTTTATACTCACTCTCGAGCTCTGTGCTCACCCCTTCACGACCCAGTCTGCATGCAGGCTGCACTCGTCTGCACCCCAGGCTTTGTGGTGCCTGGTGGAAACTCGCACCCCACGCCCAGTGTGAGGCATTGGGGTGTCCACTCCACTCTGAGAGGCCCAGTCCGGGACTGTCAACTCCTGCACTGCAGCCTGCGTGAACTCACAGGAAGCAACCTTCGGCAGTTCCAAAAATGGCCTGGGCATAGAGATGCCAGCATGGGCAGCTGCAGAGTCCAGACACACAGATCAGCGAGGCCCAGGGAGTGTGTAGGGCCCTGTGGTGTCTGCTCCAGCAAGGAGCCCCACCTGGGGGCCCTTCTGGAAGCTTCTGTGAGAGGATTACTGAGGTGTTTTGGAGGAAAAACAGTGTGCAATAGGTGAATAAAGACGGAGGGGACCCCAGGAGGGTGAGCGTGCAAAGGGCAGGAAGTGAGAAAGGCCTGCAGTGGGGGGAGGGGAGTGTCACAGGTCCCAGGTCTGGTGTGTCCCTTGTGCAATGCAGGAGAGGACTCTGGAGGCTGGGCTGGGGGCACACAAGTCCCTGGTCTCTGAGTGAGTGCCGGGCAGTCCCTCCAGCAGGGCGAGTGCCTGTGCCATCAGCCGTCCTGTGTCTTCTCTCTTGGGGGGGACTGGGCCTGCAGGTGACCCCAGAACATGACCCTGCCCTCCTGGGGGTTTCCCTCCGTAGTCACAGGTGAGGATTCAGGGCCACTGCACTGCCCCGCGCCTCTCGGTCTCTCACTGAGCCGCCTCTCCAGCCCCTGGGTCCCTACGACCCATTCCCAAGAAAGCCATCGGGAAAACAGTGAAATCCTGTTGGTGTCAGCAGTGGGCCCGCCGTCTGATCGCACATTTGAAACCCCCTCCTGCATGTCGCTACTGAAGCTGCATCATCCAGCAGGACCTGGGAGGACCTGGCCGGGCAGGTGTCGGCGGTGGGCGAGGCAGGCAGGGTGGCAGGCCTTCCTGGTGCAGTAGGCAGCTTCGGTCTCTCTGAACAGGCCCCGGGAGTCATTGAAGGCGACCAACGGGCCTGCGGGACAAGCACATGTCGCCCACCCCTCCTGGACTGCATGAGATTCAAGCTTTCCCATAAAAGAAGTCCACTCTTCGGGGACGTGCCAGACCCTTCTCAGAGACATGCAGAGCCTAAGCTGCCCCCTCACCTGTCTCCCCGTGAAGCACCATGCCCAGACCAGGCGAATTCCAGAGCCTTCCAGCCCATCATCTCGGCAGAGGCCGGGCCGGGACCGCATGGCTGCTAAAAATGGCTGTTTCGCCCAACCCAGCTGATAGAGACACAGGCTGACATTTTTGTCATAGCTGAACGAGGTCCAGGGCCAAATTCCCTGCAGCTGCTTTCCACGGCTGCCTCCCGGCTCCACCCCGGCCTCGGCGCATTCCTCACACCCAGATCAGAAGCAGCTTCTGCTGCAGACGGGACGCGGGGTGGGGGCAAGGGGCAGACTGCGTGGCAGCAGTAGGGAGGGGGCTTGGTGTGGGGTGTGCATCCTATCCTCGTTAAATCACCAGAACGTCCCCCTGGCTGCCGGCATAGGGAGACTGGAGCCCAGAGTGTCTGTGGCCTGCGGCACCTCGTTCACTCAGGTCCCACTGGGTCTGACCCCAGGATGCAAGTCTTTCCACAACTCAAGCATCTGCTTCAGAAAATAACAGTGGAGTGAACAGAGATGTTCTCCTCGTGGGGGAAGCACAGGAATTAACGTGGTGTCTGCCCCGCCCACTGAGGATGCGTCCTCATGTCTCCCCTGGATCATCGGCTATTCCCCCAAGGCCAGTGATGCCTTCGGAGGCTGCAGCCCACCTGGCATGCAGCTTCCACCTTGTTCACGGACATGGGCTCCCAAAGCGTCAGGGCCACCGCAGGGTGAAGGCCAATAGCCCTGTGACCACCACATCATGAGGAAGCCCCACTCAGGCCCCAGATCTGTGGGCGAAGCACAGTGGGAGATCCAGGGCCCGCTGTTCAGTGAGCCCCTCAGAGTGTCCTCCCACAGGCCCTGCCTGACCTGGTGACCCCTCAAATCATGAGCTCAGTGAAATGATCCTGTTTGGGGCCACTAAGTGTGGGGTGAGTGGTGATTCAGCAGCAGTCACTGGAACCACGAGGGTCCCTCTCCAGCAGTCGAGCCCAGCACCTCGTGCATACAGACCAGCCACACAAGGACTCTACACCCTCCCCTCGAGGAGGCTGGAGTCAAGGCGACAAACCTACAAATCACGAGCCACCCACCAGAACCCCAGCCCTGAGTGTGAGAACACGTGTGCATGCTGGTCCCTGCACTGCCACGTCCAGGGCACCCCAGCCATCAGGCAAGGCCTCGGGCCAGTCAGCAAGCTTAGCCGCCACCAGCCCAAACCCCAGGCCCAGCCCTGAGGCAGACGCCCTGACCCTGCCAGAGATGGAGCCACAGAGCCATTAAGCGGGAGCTGTTGGCAGGCCCGGGGCAGGAGAAGGGCTGTGTGCAGATGGGGCTGCCCTGGGCTCTAAGTCCACAGGGCAGGCCTTGCTCTGCAAGGACCCCGAAGTTATCCTGTCGCTCCAAGAGCTGCTGTGAACATTAAGAAGCAGGGAGAATCTCTGAAGTTTAAGCTGTGCCTCCCCATGGAAGGACTAGAGCCAGACGTTCCGCAGAGGGATCAAGGATGCAGATGTTGCCTCTGGGCAGCTGGGCTGTGTGCAGTGTTTGCCCGGGCCTTGCTCACAGTCAGATTTCGGAGGCCAGGCGCAGGCGTTGGGCTGAGGGGCCCGGGCAGGATGCCGAGGCAGAGGGCGGCCGGGAGCCAGGGGCTGCAGACCCTCCTCCCGCTGGCTCAGGCCAGGGCACACCTGAGCTCTGCTTTGATGTCCTGTCTGCAGACAAGCCCTCTCAGCTCTCAGGGAGCTGTTAGAAGTGATTCTTAATTTGCCTTTTATCAGAGACCAGAGGAAAGAGTTGAAAGCAGGAGGCTGGGGTTTTCAAAAGATCCTGCAAGACTGGGGACAGAAAGCAAAACAGCCTCAAGCCTTGGAAGGAAGCAAACGTGCTCCACCATCTCCCAGGCCCAGAGGCCACGCGGCCCAGCCTGTGATGTGGGGGGTCCTCGGGAAAGCCACTGGCTTCGCAGCTTCACACGGGCGGCGCAGGGGCATTGCCTTTGGGCTTGGGCTGTGGTTTCATTTGGATCCTGATAGAAACCTAATTATCAAAACCAAAGGGCAGGTGTTCTCACAGCATCAAATCTCAGGTGAAGGGCCACCTGCCATCCTGAGCCTTCTCCAGCCCGGGAGCTGCCGGCGTGTGCGGCCTCCTGGGCATTCCAGGCCAGCGAGGATGCCTCCAGATGAATGGAAATGCAAAACAAGGCAGAAAGCCAGGTGTAGACCAACCCCCAGCACAGCCCAGCCTCCCAGCACAATCAGTATCTGGACGCCCCCCTTGAGCCTTTTCTCAGAAAGAGGCCGCCCTGCCCTGCCAGGGAAGCCCCACGCTCGGGGGACCAGCCACTTCCCCTGTGTTACTCACCGTGAAGCTGCCTTTCTGCTCTGGTTTGTTAAGAGGGAGACTCTCTCAGCAGCCCCTGGGGTCACGGCACAGCCCCTGGGCCAGCAGACAGCAGACTCCTGAAGCTGACCACGAGTGAGGACAACACGGAGCACTGGGGCAGGTGAGCTGTGGTTTGAACCCACACGGTGGGTACCCCGAGGCCAGGCACACACAGTGCCAGGGGATGACCACGTCCTACTCAGGGAGCCACAATGCATGGCGACTAAAGGACACCTCTGCCAGCGGCCTAGATGCTTTTTTTAATTGTGGTAAAATACCACAATTTTACGTATTATAACATGTGGGGGCTGGCCTGGGGACATAGCAGTTAAGTTTGCACTTTCTGCTTCGGTTGCCCAGGGTTCGCCGATCTCGATGCCGGGCATGGACATATGCACCGCTTATCAAGCCATGCTGTGGCAGCATCCCATGTATAAAGCAGAGGAAGATGGGCACAGATGTTAGCTCAGGGCCAATCTTCCTCAGCGAAAAAAAAAAAAAGAGGAGGATTGGTGGTGGATGTTAGCTCAGGGCTAATTTCCCCCCTCCCCCCCAAAAACGTACATAACATAAAATTTACCATTTTAACTATTTTTAAGAGTGCAATTCAGTGACAGTAAGTACATTAGTACTGTTGTACAGCCATCAACACCCTCCATCTCCAGAACTTTGTCATCTTCCCAAACTGACATTCTGTCCCTATTAAACACTCACTCCCCATCCCCCTCCTCCAGCCCCTGGCAACCACCATCCTGCTCTCTGTCTCTACAACTTCAGCTCCTCTAAGGACCTCATATAAGTGGAATCACACAGCATTTGTCCTTTTGTGACCGGCCTGTTTCAGTGAGCAGAATGTCCTCAGTGTTCATCCATGTTGTAGCAGGTGTTAGAATGTCCTTCCTTTTTATGAGTAAATAATATTCCACTGTACATGGTTTTATAATGTGCTTGAGACGTGTTCTATCAGTCATGGTGAGACACGCAGACACAGAAATGACTGTCATGAAGGAAGAAGTTTTATACTCACAGCTCCCTAGAAGCAGGAGGCGGGCCACGCAGGGCCACACGGGGCAGCACCAGGGCCGGTCAGGGGGCAGAGGGAGAGCAGGAAGTGTGGACAAGAGCCTTTATTGTGGCTTCTTCAGGAAGGACCAGGCAGCAGGCTTGGCATTGGCTAGTTGGAATGACTTCAGCCAGCTCTGGGGCACAGGCACTGTCCTTGGTTGTCTGGTACCTGGACCTCAGGGGCTTGGGGCAGGACGATAGTGAGGGGCTGACAGAGGAGGTCAGTGGGGTATGGTGACTGGTTGGTTTGCATATGAAAGGCGAGCTCATAAGAGGTCATTTGCTCTCTCTGGGAATTGGCTAGCCCTGGGAGGGGCCATCCCTCCAGGGTCAGCAAGGCCCCGAGATGTCAAAGCATCAAAAACACAGCAAATGAAAAACATGATTAGCACATATGCATGTACCCCACTTGGTTATCCATTCATCCATCAATGGACGCCAGGTTGTTTCCACCTGAGACTGTTGTGAATATTGCTGCTGAGAACATTGCCACACACGCGTCTGAGTTCCAAGCACCCTAGATATTTTTAGAGTGCAATTAGAACCTAATTTTTTTTTAAGACACAAGGAGGGAGGAAGCACCACAGTCAGGAGTTAGAACAGGAAACAGTCTCAGGGAGATGCCACTGTCTGGTGTGAAGTTCCCACCCCAGCCGTCTTTCCAGCATCCCTGCCCGGAGGGAGTGTGAGCCCTGTTTCTACCCTAGGAACCGCCACCCAGCCTTCTTCCCTTTCCCACAGCAGAGACGACGTGGGTCCAGCGGCAGGGCTCTGATCAGGGACTGGCGGGTGCCCCAGAGCCCTTCGCCAATGCGTGAAATTATTCACCAGGATGAAACATTGAGACTCTGTGGCCCCAGAGCCCTGGACAGGGCCTGGGTTACACTCACGGCTGCAGGTCCGCCCGTGCCCTGGATTCAAGCTCCAGCGGGAGCCCTCACTCACATCCCCTTCGCGTCTCCTTCACGCTGCAGTCCTCAGTGTGAGAAGAGCAGCTAGCCGAGCTGAGCCCACGCAGCCCGCTGTCCACCTCTGTCCTCCTCCCTCCACGTGGGAGTGACCGCAGGGACCAGTGTCCCTTTTCAGATGGAGTTTCTGACTTTCTTGCTCTCTTCAATGTCCGCTAACAATTCCCTGGCACCCATAAGGGCTGTGTCAGACACTGAGCGGGACTCAGGAGAAGCCACCAGCATAAGACTCCCTGCCCTGGGGCTCACCCCACCCTCGGGGCCTTCCAGCCTGCACCTCTCTGTATGTGGGAAGCTGAGAAAGGAGTTCCCTGGCCTGAAGGCTCTCTATTGCCCTTGCATGACTTGTCTGTCACTCATTTTCTGAGGACAGGTGGCAGCCCAGGGAGGAGCTTGGCACACATCTGGTGACATCAGGACACATCTGGTGACATCAGGACACACCTGGTAACATCGGTCAGTTTGGGTTGGTTTGGTGCTTAGCGGCCATCCTTTTACCAATTCAGCAACAGGTTGTTCACCTTGTCCTGAACACACTGGAGCAAAATCTATTGTGGTTCCAGCTCAGGTCCCCTTGTTCCCAAGTGTCACCCCAGCTGGCTGAATAAGGTTTCCCAGTAGTATCGTTTGAATACAGATTTCCCAGCATTGCGGGTAGGGCCTGGAAGGCCATCCTGGGGACAGCGTCCAGTGGGACTGAGGGAAGCTCCAGGCTCGTTATGAAACGCATCCTCATATTTAAGGGCACGTTAAGGTCATTAAAATAAGCGCCGTGTAATAACTGTGTGGAACATTCACTGGGACTCGATCATGTGCCAGGCCCGGGGCTGCACTCGCCGCTGCCTGTGTCTTCTGACCCCAGAAACAGCCCTGTGAGGAGGCACC